GTATTTGGGGTTTTCTGAACATCTCCAATGGGTAAATTTATTTCTTTCAAATTTGGGGAACTTTTCAGACAATGTTTTTTTTCAATTATTCTTTTAACCCCACCCTTTTTCTTTTAATCTCCTTCAATCTGGAACATTTCTATATCCTTTTTTAGTTTTTTATGACCTAGGCCTATTTGAAGAATACAATTACTCTTTCCACCATTTTGTTAATGGCAAATTTCTCATCTTGTGTTTGAACTTTCCTGATGCTTAGATTGAGGTTAAGCATTCATGGCCAAAATACTGAATAGTAATAGGGTGTCTTTCTTGGGGTATCTCATCGGGAGGTACCCACTGCCCATAACTGGTGATGTTAATTTTGGTGACCCATGTAAAGTGATCTCTGGTTTCCCTATTGTATAATTACTGTGATTTTTTTTCTCCTTTGCAATAATAAAGAATCTATTGGGGAGATACTTTATGGCCATGCAAAGATCCTCATCAAAATTTTCTTGTAGAATTAGCATTCAATGAAGATTCTTGCCTGATCTGATCTTTTCCATGATGGCTGCAAATGATTTTCTAACTCCAGTGCTCCCTCAACATTTTCCACTTGGTTCTTGGCATTTTACCGTTAGCTAGAGGCCTCTCTTCTCTATTTATGTTTGTTAACTGTTGGTGTGGACTCATGATTTTCTAATAATTCAGTGGATTATAATTCACTACTTTACTTAATTATTTTGGTGCTCAAATTGTCCCAGATTTGGCCCGTGGGAGCGCCTTCAGACTGGTTCCTTGTGTCCTTACACAAATACACTATAGCATAAGTCCCTTGAAATGACAACTCCCTTGAGAACACATTAATCTCATGGTTCACATGGATAGTAACTCAAATGTGGAGAAAGAGAGAGGAGACATGTCTATTGAATGCTTTCTTGGGTCCCTTCATGCTACTGTTAAGTAACATCTATAATGCAAGCATCCAGCAAATCCATTCAAATCATTTTATGGACAGAACTTTGGAATGCCATGGCTGGCACTGGGAAATCTAAGTGCCAATGATTGATGTTAAATCCTCTCTTGCTTCTTCTTACCACGCTGTGCTAGTTGTATGTAGGTAGGTGGGAGGGCTTAGTGGATCCACACCTAACTTTGTCATTCACATGGAGAAGATCAAATAAGAATCATCAAGTGAATGGGGATGATATTTTTTCACGGAATTATAAATCAAATGCCTACAGGGCAAGGAAGTCACCGCCAATGAATAATAAAGCTGATGCTTGGCATGGTATGGATGGCAGCACACCGGAGAACTTCCTCCCTGCCTTAGCTGCCTTAGGCAGCTGTTTCTCAGCTCTTTCCAATGTAAGTGCGGGATTGCCAGATCTCATTTTTCCACCCAGAAATCCAGCTTTTTATGTAAAAAATTTTAAATCTCTCATCTTTACATCTCATCACCTAATTCCAAAATACGTGAAAGTGAATTCCAGGTTAAATAAAGTACAGACCAGTCCTCTAAGTCCAGCCAACTAGCTGCATGCTTGTGGCCCCTCTTACATCAACATGTAGAGGCAAAGAATTGGGAGCTGACCTTTCGTAAATCTTCCTGAAGATACAATTTGATGATTCTGGAATTTCTTCTCCAGAAAAGGGTTCTTCTTAAAGTTCCATCTAGAAACAAAATTCACACATGTTAAAGTCAAACCATTTTCTTTTAATGCAAATCCCAACTGGACAGCTAATGACTCTTTCAAAAGCAACAATGCCCCGTGGCTTACCTGGTCCGGTTTTCCCGCAGAAGGAGATATGTTACTCCACGTCTGGAGATGAATAGTGCGCTTCTTCCCTACGGCTCAAAGGGGTGGATTGTAATGACCCCTGCCTCCTGGTTAATACGCGTGCCCAGCCTTGCCAAGACATTTCCAGGGGGAACATCTTCAGTATGTGGAGTTGGTCACGACTTCCCAAATATTTCCACTGAATTGTTACCAAGAAAACCTTTGCCTTATGAATTTTTGTTTTATTACTTTGCTAAAGCAAATACACTCCAGAAAGACATGCGGCATTCCACTTTGGTCCAACGCTATACCTTCGAGCGCCTTCTCTCTCTTTCTCTCTCTCTCCTTTTTTTTTTCCTAAAGAAAAAGCATGAGAAGTGCCAAGTATTCTGTGTTTTTCAGAAGTGCACGCTATTTTCTAGACTCCTTGCTGGGGATAGATAAGTGTGCGTCTGACTGCAGGCTCTTAAGCCCACAAGTCTTTTGGCCTACAAAGTCAAAGTCAGCCTGTCAGTTTATGTTTACAGTAGTTTGTGATAGTAAACCTGTCAGTTTACCTGGGACTCTGCTTCCTTTTTTGGACACCTCCTGTCTCTTCTTTCTGGATAAATGATACCCAAAAAGTAGATTTAATGATAGATGTTTTTAGTTCTTCCTAATCAGACCTTCTTCCAATAAACTGTATTGCAGCTAGAGTTGATGGGAGGGGGTACCTGGGGGACTCCCCTGGCTGGGGGTGGGAGGAGTCAGATGATGCCTGGTACCCTGGACAGGGGTCCAAGCCTCTAATATCAGTCCTTACTCTAAATTTTCCAGGAGACTGTGCCATCTCTTTCCTGCTCTGAGTAGCATCCCTACCTTTAGGAAAACTGTCTCCTGGTGTCTCATTAAAAAGGGCAAATGAGTCTCTCTGGGCTCTGGTTTTTGCAGACTCAGCCTCACAGGGCACAAGGCTGAAGCCCAGTTGCTCACCCCATGTTTACTTTTATTTCCAGCCACATCTGGAGGCCAAAATTCATAAATTTATGGCCAAGCCCGACAACGGTGTACTGAGTTTGTACGTAAGGAAGGGGGTGGGGGGGGAGATCTCCTGACTCGTTGGGTGTAAAATGGATGTAGCAACTGCTGGGCAGACCCTAAACCCCAGGCGTGTTTATTGACATCTCAGCCTGCAGACAGCCGAGGCGTGAGCGGCCCTGTTTGTCTTGGAGGTTTACCCTGAGAGCCTCACGGTGTACTCTCTGTGCCTGCAGCCAGGCATCTTTTTAACCCACCAGAGGCCCAGGGAAGGAAACAAGGGCAGTTCAGAGGTGGTGGACCTCGGCCTGATAGGGGGAGAGCGCGTGGGCACCGCCGTGTTTACCGTTGGGGCAGTGCAGTGGGTGGGCCAATTCTCGTGACGTACTTGAGGCTTTAAAAAAACGGCCATAAATCTGATGTCTGTCAAACAGGGCTGGCATTTTCTTTTCCTTTCACAACCAGGTTTTGTGTGACCCAAAAAAAAAAAAAATTTTTTTTCCCCCCAAAACAAGAAATCCTACACACTCTGTGAAGGGGGTGGCTCTGTCAGGTTGGGGAGGCCAGAGAGCTGGGGGTGTTTCTGTGGAGGCTGTTGTCTCCCCCACGCATGGAGGAGGGTGTTGCCCTGATGCTGTGCGTCTTCACAGACCTGTGGGCCCAGACCCGATGCCTGTGGTCCATGGCCCGACTCTCCCCAGAGCCCTGCCTTGTCAGCCTGGGGCGCCCCGAAGAAGCCAACTCTCCTGCCATAACTGGAGCCCTTCTGGAGGCCCCGGGATGGCAGGAGGATGTGCTGTTTGTGGCCACCAGCCACGGACCCTCAGCCTAGAAAGAAATGTGCTGGGGATGTCCTTTTGCAGGCGGTTTGGCTCCCTGGTACCTCACGTCTGAGGTGAGCCCGCCAAAGAAAAGGGCACTTTTTGTGGTCAAAGCTTGGGGCTTGGACGAAGCCCTTGGACGGAGGTGCTGTGTGCCTGGGAAGGCGTGGCCCACCGAGGAGGAGAACAGCCCCCCTGTCTGTGAGCAGCGGGCTGCCAGGTCTCCCGCTCAGGGAACAGTGAGCAACTGTTGGAAAGCTTGGCCTGGCCCAGTGTCCAGGTGTGCCCTGGCTCAGGTGTGTCATCTCATGAAAAGAGCAGGAGGTCCAGAGCCACCCCTGCCCCGGCACCACCCGCCTCTGCCTCCCTTGGTCGGAGCTTCCTGTGCACGTGGGCACAGCCCCGTCGGGCCCATGCCGGGTTCCTGCCATCTGGCCCTCTGCTCTTACCGAGGCTTGGGGTGTAGGGGCATCTTCCCCTCCCTGTCTACCAGCCCTTCATGTTCATTCCACCCCGGGCATTGTCCCAGCCAAGCTGCAGGCCGTCGTCTGAAGAACTCACACTTCTCAAGGCATTTTTCCTGGCCCCCGGCCACACCTGACCTCCTGGTTATGTGGGCAGCAGTGTGCAAGGGTGTGAAACCAACTGGACCCGGGGCGCAGCCCAGCAGGGTGGGATTTCCCTGTGGGGTGTGGGTGCAAAGAGCGGACATGTCCCCAACAGGGACCCCTGGAAGCCACCCAGCCCCTCAGATGCCGGTACTTTTCCATCAGCGGGTGGGGCAGAAAAGAGAACTTTGAGCCCCCCCCCAGTGACCTCATGGCCTAGGGAATTTCCAGACTTGCCTTGGGGAGGTTATCCCAACCCAGCCCCAGGAATCAGGAAGCCTTTCTTTTATTTTTCGAACTTCTAACCAAGCTTTGCTCATGGTGTAAAATGGTGAGTGGTTGTGCTTGAGGTCCTCATCAATGCCTTCCCAGAAGCCAGAGGGCTGAAAAGACAAACATCTAGTCCCTTCCAGACACGTGTGCCTTCTCCGCTCAGCAGCAGGGGCTAGCACAGGCCCCGCTCCCCTCCCTCACCTTGAAGTCATGTCTGCAGTTGGTGAAACGCGCTTTCCCCAGGCCTGTATCCTCAGGGGCCTTGTGTTCTCTCAAGCCTAGTTAACTTTTGCTTAAACTGTTTCAGAATTTCTACTCTCTGCAGTATGGCCTTGGCACGGAGGGGGGGCCCCCTCACGGATGCCTGGGGTGCGGTTAGAGGGGACAGTTTCCTGTGTCAATGCACAGGAGGACTTAAGTCTTAACCTGCAGGGACAGCCTCCCATCATTTCCTCACACGGACCTTTGTCATCCCTGGGACTCACTTCTCACCCCCATGTCATTCTCTGTTTTCTTTGCAGAAGCTCCATGATTTATAATCAAATGCGGTTACTTGTCCGCCACCTGCATCCCTGCCTGGAGCATGAGCAAGAGCAAGTGCTGGCTGTGGACCGACAAAGCCCCTGCTGCAGCAAGCACCTGACACCCCCGAGATGCCCAGTCAGTATTTGCGCTAATACCTCCGGGCTGGAGCTGGGGGAGGGCTGGGTGGCATTTTAACCGTGGCTGATGTGGGGCGGCTGTGCTTTCTGGCCTTGCGCCCCTGTGGGCTGCATCCAGAGCAGGAGAGAAAAGGACTTACCTTTATATAGTCAAGCCTAATTATTGATCTCTCACACTTAACAGTCGTGGCTGGAGGCGTGGGGTTGTATGTTTACTTCAGGTGGGGAAAAAATGCAAGCAGGATTATGGGTTCTGCTTATTTGTTGCTGTTGCAGAAAGGAAGGATTGTCAGGGTGTTTTTCTTAATCAAAAGGAGGGAGCTGCAGTGTCCTGGCTGCTTGGAAGTGTTCGTGGTGGTGAAATCTCTGGTTCCTTCCGAGGTTGGCTGTGTGAGAGGTGGCCTGGTCACCTCTGTGGCTGCCCATCATGTGCCACTGTTAGGCTGGCGCTTTCTGCAGAAGGGCTCAAGAGCCATGTGTTTTGTCAGTTCCCTGCGCTTCCCTGGAAGTGGAGAGTTTGCATTTGGTCACGCGGTCTCCAACGCCCATACTGTGTACCCTGAGCACCTTCTCCAGGCAGCTTTCGTTGACTGGAGCTTCTGGTTGAGAGTCCACTTGGTGTGAACATCGCAAAGGACACCTGTAGGCCGTGAGGTCCATGGTATCAACTGTGCTAAAGACCAGAGTTCAGGCCTGGCTTTGCCTCTACCCTGGGGCCTCCCTATATCCTGAAGGTGGACACCCATATTTCCTAACCTAAGAGTTTTCAGTCTCAGGCTGTAGATACCAGAGAAGAAAAAGCAAAGAGCAAACATCTAAGTTATATAATTTGTAAAAAATGTTAATATGGCACTAAGATGTCTATAAACATAGGTGGTGTGGGAGGTTTTGTTTGCTTTTTGTTGGCTGGCCTTTGTCATTGGTGTCCATCTCTAAGTGAACACAAATTCTTCTCAAGTATGTCTGCATTTCTTGTCCTGCAAAGAGACTCAGGAGGCCAAAATACCATCACCAAATACACAAACTACTTGAAAGTGATGTGTTAGTTTGTTAGAACTGACGTAACAAAAAGTACTGCAGAGCAGCAGGGATGTATGGCCTCACTGCTCTGGAGACAAGATAAGATGTTCAGGATCGAGGCGTGGGTGGGCAGGGCTGGTTTCTTCCCACGCTGTGTTAGAGAATCCATCCCAGGCTTCTCTCGGCCTCCGGGGGTTGGCTGGCAATTGTGGGCATTTCCTGGTGTGCAGGCCCATCACCCCATCTCTGTCTTCACCTCCACAGGGCCTTCTCCCTCTGAGTGTCTTCTGCATTTAATTTCCCCTTTCTCTATAGACACCACCCATATTGGATTAGGGCCACCCTATTCCACTGTGACTTAATCTTAACTGATCACATTTGCAGACACGACCTTATTTCCCAGTAAAATCTGGTGCTGAGTTACTGCAGGGCAGGGACTTTAACATATCAGTGTGTGTGTGTGTGTATTGGTGGGGCAAGAGAGATGCAGTTCCACCCATAACACGACCAATAACCCACCTTAGAACAGAAAATATAGATGGACTCCGATTCAAGAATTTTCAAATTATTCATGCCCCTTGAATCTTGAAGTTAATACGAGGCATCCAGGAAAATGCCCTGAACTTCCTACTGGATGTTAGAAGTGTGGGGGTTGGGCAGCAAGAACCCCCCACCCCCAGTGCCTCCTGAGATGTCTATGACACCCCAGCGCTGGCCCACACACGTGTATTTTCCTGGTTCATATTTTACTTAAATCACTGTCCTTTGAAGGGAAGGTTGGGTTTTTTAAGGTGAAACCCTGAAAGTTTTATACTCACTAATGGCGCAAAAGGATGAGTTGGTAATGGAGAGACGTCCCGCCCCAGGTGGGGCAGTAAGAGAGGGTCACTGGTTCTTAAAATACAGACCCAGCGAGCCGTGCCCTGGGCTGTGAGTGAGTGGGGGGCCTCGGAGCAGCCGGGCAGACACAGGTGAACGTGGAACACATGGAATGGAGCAGAATTTGCTTTGTGGCCTGTGGAACTGCACAGCCCGCGGCCACGGGCATACCCAGTATGGCTCCCAATGACTTGATTCAACTTTGCCAGTGACCTTGACCCTTGTGCTCCAGAAGCTGATGAGCTTTGCCTGCTCCTGTGATGGCGAAGTGCTTGGCTCAGCGGTTCGCATCTTGCGAGTCTGTGTCGGGCGGTGTACATGGGGGTCGGCTGCCTCTGTGTCCCCTGCCGAGCCCTGGGCAGCCAGGCTCTGCTCTGTGTACCGTTGCCTGTATGCCGTGTGTGCAAGTTCAGTCTTGTGCTGGGGGGGGGGAGTTCTGGGCCTGTCAGTAGGGGCCCAGAGCCCCCTACTTTGCTCTGTCTCCCCCCAGTCTCCTTCCTGACTTAATCACGTCTGGGGACGGCTGGCTGGTGTGCAGGGCGTGCCTTGGCCTTGGTGCCTGAGGCTCTCATCCCCTCTCAGGTTAGGTAACTGTTCTGATGACTGCACTCCAGGCAAGACCGCTGAGGAGTCAGTGCGGAGCGAGGAGCCAGGCCTGGGCCTCCCCAGGTGGCCAGGTGCTGAGCGAGGCCTGTGGCTCTGGAGTCGAGAGAACCCACGTGACCACCTTCTGATTCGGTCGAGGCTTTGGAACCAGCCGAGCCTGGAAACGAGGTGCCGTCCTGTGGGCCTAGGGGGTCTATTTAACATTTTCAAGTATCTGCACATTCTTTCCTGGCCTCAGTTAAATAACTTCTTTTCTCTTAGGATTTCTGATAACCCCAAAGAAACCCACAACCTTTGCCCACCCATGGCTTCCACAAGTAAAATAATCATCCTTTCAGCTCTCGGTCTGCCTTTCTTCGGGAATCGCAGATCCGCCCCACCCCCAGCGTGGTTCTCATGTGTCCCCAGACGTCCCAGGGAGACAGGAAGGAGGACGGATGGTCCCGATTTTGCTGATGGAGCCGATAAGCAGCATAAGTGCACGGTTGGGCCTGCAGTGCCCTGGGTTCCCACGAGGCCCCCACTTGCTGCCTGACTTCAAGCTCAGCCAAGCACCTCCCTGCCAGCTTCCTCTCTTGGCAATGTGGGCCCCCTGCCTCCTGCCTGGGGGTGGGTGTGCACCATCCTCTTCATATCTGGATGCTCGGAAAAGCACGGGAAACATGATATCGAGGACTGTACAGCTAAAAAGGTCCAGAGTCCAGGCCCAGCTACGCCCTGCACCTTCCTTCCACTCAGCCAGGTAAACCCCTGCAGATGACCCTGCCACCATCTCCTGCCTCACCTGCCTGGATGCCCAACCTGCCAGCCTGGAGGGGAGCGCCTCCTAGTCTCCAGCCCCACTGTCCACACTGGGCATGTAGTATAGGTACATGACATATTATATATATGCAGTTTGGGTTTTCTTTATATAGTAACATTACACATAGACATGTGGACATATTACATGCATGTTATAACATTATAGATGTGTACATGGGAATATTATATATAACACATATGTACACATTTTGACATATCATGTATATGACATATATACATTGGAGATTTTATATGCAACACATACATGTGGGGCATATTGTGTATAACACATGTCCTATAGGGCATATTATATAACATTTATATGCATTATAATATGATATGTAAATATATAACATAGTGCATACAATATTCAACATGTAGCCTACACAGCAAGATAGAATATGTAATATACACACATATAAAATCCATTTGTGTTCACATCAAAAAAACCCCACAAGTGTTCTGACTCCACTTTCCTCCTGGTTGTGACCCAGGGAGCCTGGACCTGCCTCCTGTGCTGCATTTCCGGCTCCTGGTCTGACCATGGGCGCCAGGAGGGGCTCCCCACTCAGACATGCCCCTGGGGTCTGCAGCCATCTTAGGTGTCTTACATTTTGTTGTTGTGAGTTTGCTTGCAAACTTGGTGCTGGTTCTGCAAGGGATCCCCGCTTCCCATGGAGTGGTGGTGGCTGCTGTCCTCCAGGCTGCAGGTGGTCCTGTGGGTCTGAGGCCATGCAGGCTGGGGGGTAAGAGGGGGCCGCAATGCTTGGTGCAGCCCTTCCAGGAGGGCCGTTTTGTCCTTTCTCAAAAGGCTGTGAGAAGTCATGGCCAGGCTGCTGCTGGTCAGGCTGCCAGCCTGGGCCGGACCTGCTGGGCTGTCTCCCTGGGAAGCAGGGTGCTGCAGGCGGGGTGAAGCGGCTCTCCACGCTCACTCAGCCAGGGCTGGCCCCTTCCTGCTTCTCCTTAACTGTGGGGTCCTGCATTAGAGACTACTAGGGAGGAGGAAAGAGCTTTAAAAGAACACCTTGTTTGGGCCTCCCTGGTGGTGCAGTGGGTTGAGTGCCGCGCTGTGAAGCTGTACTGCAGCCTCTGCAGTGCTGGTTCGATTCCCAGCTGGCCAGGGAGAAACCCACACGGTGCAGCAGACCTCTCCTGTCTCGCCCGCTGCTCCCCTCAGCAGTGTCTTTGGTCTGTCTGCCTGTTCTGCTCTCTGCTCTGTCTCTGGTGAATTCTCTCACCCTCCCGCACCTCTGACTATACCCCAGTTCTTGTATAAATAAATAAATCTTTAGGAAAAAGTAGAACACCTCGATAGCTTCTATTACTCCACATGCTAGTGTGTGCTTCACCGAGATTAATTTGCTTAACCCCCAAGAGGCCTTATAGGTAGGCACTTTTATTATGCACATGTTGACAGATGAAGAAACTGAGGCACAGAGAAGTCCAAATAAACCGCAGAGGTGGAGTTCAAACTCGCATGCTCCACCCTGGTGCCCGGCTCTGTTTGCTTTAAGGAGTTGCTTAAGGAACATAAGGAGTTCAGTCCCAGCACCCCCTCCTACGTCTGATGAAACAACACCATCGTGGGGTATTGCTTCGGGAAGTAGCCCTGGTCTGGTACAGAAGGCATGGGAGGGGGTGTGGGAGGGACCCCAGTGCCACCCAGGGGTCTGGCGCCTTGGGTCTGGGACC